AGGCCCACTGATCCTGATGAATAGTATCACTGACATTCTGCCGGGTGGCTACTGAAAGGATTCCCTGATGTAGCCAATGTGCTGCCCTGTTTTGGATTTGGGGTTTTTGTTCAGTGAATGTTTCACATGTCCTCGTCTCTTATGCAGAACAGCTGCTCAGTTACCCTGAAGCGTATCCTAGAAAGCACTCGGCACGCAGCTATGGACATGCTCCGTGGAATGCTAGTCCTTTGTATTGTTTTGCCATCACATCTCATGGTGCTATCTGTTTCTGTATGTCTCTCCAGGTGGGTTGTGGCACACCAGCCTGATTGATAAATACCTGATTGACTTCTTCATCCCATTCCTACCTCTGGAATACAGACACGTCCGCTTGTGTGCCCTGGCAGAGATGGCCATTCGGAACATGGAACCTGATGAAGACATTGCAGATAAAGTAGCTAAAGACATGATGTACAGCCCACAAGAGGAGAGGGTATTCTCCTCTAAGGGCTGCAAAAAAATTGCAAGCAAGCTGGTGTACTACAAGTAGGGCAGTTGGCTATAAAGACAAAAAGACTAGAGTAATGATATGAGTTTACATTTGGCTTCTTACTTGAAGGATGCAGATTTGTCACATCTGAAGATCTGCGTGACCAATGCAGAGGCCAGTTGACCTTGGACCCCTAGTGTGTTTTTTCTCCTTGGGAGTTTTTGGTTCCTTTCCTCCATTGTTGTCTGGCTTTCTTTCTTTAATTTCTTTCCTTCCTTTTCCCCGCTCTGTGTTACTCTCTCTAATGATGTTTAATGTATCACAACATATCACAACATATCATGCCTATATAAAAAGGCACTATATAAAAATGAATTGAATATTTAAAAAATATATATTTTTCTAAAAATATAAACTAAACAATGTGAGCAGTGCTGGGGCATTTATGTGCACGTACATTTTATGCAAGAAATTAAGATGATCTTTTACACAGATAATATTTCTTTGTCATTTATAAAGCCAATATCACTCGCCCACCAGAGCAGTACGGTATCAGATTTTACAGTGATTTTAGTGAAATTCAGTCTGTACTACAATTGACTATACTTATCCATTAAAAAGGGAACATTCAAAACACTCAATTTTCAGATTCTGGAAAGTAAAAAGAGTAGCATTTGCTGGCTTTGCCAGATTTATCAAGTAAAAGTTAAGGGCAAACACAGGTGACTGACACTTCCTGGCAGGTCCTACTACTATAAATTCTCTGGTTAATCCATAGTTTGGTCCAGTGCTAGGATAATTATCTGTANCAAACACAGGTGACTGACACTTCCTGGCAGGTCCTACTACTATAAATTCTCTGGTTAATCCATAGTTTGGTCCAGTGCTAGGATAATTATCTGTACCCCTAATATCAAATTGTTCCTTATAAAAAGCAGCGTTGCAATGTTTACTGAAACAACTGTGCAAATATTGATTTTCAAATTCGATATTTTAAAAGATGGCAATAAATTTGCTGTAAATTCATTTTCTTGCTCTAAGCCGACTAAAAAAAACTCTAATTAGTTGTTTATAATGCCATTTTACAATCGAACCTTAAGAAATCATTCACAACCTCCTGTAATTCATCACAAATGTGACAGTAACTTTTTCAGTAAAAGGCTACAGTAATGCTTTTCTTCTCGACAATGCTAGTCTGTGCAAATACAGTCGCTTTCAGTCGCAAGAAGGGACTGATTAACTTGAAAGATATTTTTGACACTTAGTTGAATTCATTCTGCTGAAATGTAATCAAAAGTCACAAAAATCTCACCACTCACTCTACACCCCGTATGTGCAGTACAGCTAACAAGTCGTACAGCCAGAAGGCCCCCCCACCCCACCCCACCCATCTAACTCTGGCTAGGAAAATCCTACAGGAACCAAACTTGCACCAGTTACTGATATTTGTCCCTTATTTATGGTGTAGAAAGTATTTTGGGCTGGGCCATAAGGAAAAGATTCTAGGTGGGGGGGGGGCATTTTATAGCAGGCCACCTTGCCACAAAATGCCCCCTCCTGTCTAACTCTGGCTGGGAAAATCCTAAAGGCACCAAACTTGCGCCAGTTACTGATATTTGTCCTTTATTTATGCCGCAGAAATGATTTCTTTGGAACATAAGGAAAACATTCTAGGAAGGTGGACATTTTATAGCATTTCATTATCTAAAAAAAGAAAAAAAAAATCATAAACTTTCTCAATAACTTTGTTTTTAATCAAAAAGAATAAAATTAACAGTAACAACATATAAATAAATAAATATGACATTCGTAATAAATAAAAATTATGTGGAGCAATTATTAAATTAACACTTCAAAAAATTTTCAGCAAACAGTTAACGCAACAAACAACTTTTTTTTTAATCAATAACAATAAAATAGAAGGTCCTTAACTCATAGAAGGTCCTTAACCCATCAGCAGGACCAGTATCTGCTCC